AGGTGTACAGTAAGATAAACTTTGAAAGAGGTTTTTCAACTTCAAAAAGTAGACCAATATGAATGTTTTAAAAAGGCGTGTGCATGCACTGTGTATGGCTCAGTTAAGATTTTGTAAGAGTCAGTATGTATGTAATTAATGTGTAATTAATGCCAGATCTAACTATGTCCTGCACCAGACAATACATCCAAAACACCTTGATAGCTGACGCTCTTCTATTGTTTCTCCATATCACACCAACAGTCAAACAAACACACACCCTTCGATAGGTCAAGTCATGTCAAGGGTCAAATCTTGAGAGGTCAAGAGTTTTACTCAGGACTCTTGGTCTACTCATTGATCACAGTGTAAACAGATAAGGTAGCACCAGTAGCTCAAACACTCACCTCCATCTTTAAAACCAATAGAAACCTCCATTTCACTGTCACTTATTGTACTGGCTTGATACAAATCTTCTTCTATACATGTGTAACTGCAAACAGCTACAAATTAAAAATTGCTCTTACAAAGAGTCCAAAACAATAAAAGAAAAGGCACAATTTAAGTGAACACAGTAATCAGTAGGCATTATATTTAATTTTCAACCAACAGTTTCATATTTTCCTTAGTTTCATTTCTCTTTTTTCTAGTGATATTTTCCATTTCATTTAATCCAGTTAAGCTTTTTAAGGCGTTGAAGTCATTTAGAAAAGTTGCTTTGCTGTCTGGCTCTGGGAGACTAATGGCAGCCGTTTTGAAAAGGTCCAACTTCAAGCACAAAGCAGGAGGAAGCCTCCATGTCTGCACACATGTCCCACAAAACCTGCCTTTACATATGTAGAGGAAAATAAACACTTTTTGTTTCCCCTGGCCTGTCTCTCTTCCCTCTTTCTGCTCTGTCTCTCCTCTGCTGTGTCTTAGTCATATGAGGGTGTATAAACACGAGCCTCTGTGGATCAGTGCGCACAGAGACAGGATATGAGAGTGATTCCCCTCACCTCTCCCTTTTGAACCTGCGTCACAGACAGTGAAAAGTGGCTACTTTCCAAAAAAAGGGCCACGCAGGGGTCAGCACTGCTCTGCTCTGCTGCATGCCTGTTGATACGGTTTCAAGCTCAGCATCCCAGTAGTGTAAGCAGAACTCCCTCACTGCTCTCTATGGACACATAACTCAATGTACACACCACAACAACTGAGATGTCATTGCACAGTTGTGATTGCACATACCATACACACAAACATACAGGTCCACTTTCAAAAGCTGAATCCAGCGTGACTGAAGCTGAGCAGGGGGGTAAACAACAAGGGAAATCAAACACAGTGAAATGGAGGTTCGACTGGGACCCTGAGGGGCAGAAGGGCCCCGCAAGGACGAAGAGAGAGTGTGGTAAGGGGGGGATAGTGTGAGCTGGAACGAAAAGTCGATTAATCGGTTAGTCGAACAACAGAAGATAGCGACTATTTTGATAATTGTTCAAATGCCAAATCCTTTATTGCATTCAGCTTTATAAATGTGAAGATTAGCTGCCGTTTCTAGTTTTACACAATAGAATACCTTTGTTTTTTCGATTGTTAGTGAACCTTGGGTTTTATTTAATTGTGGTGGCCATTTTTAACTATTTTCTATTGTCAAAACGATTAATTGAGAAAATAATCAACAATTATGAACAGATAATGAAAATGATGGTTAGTTGGAGCCCTAGTCAATTGATAGACAATTAATCAGCATCTATTTTGATGACTGAATCGTTTAATAATTGGTTTTAAAATAAAATAATTTGTATATGTCAACTTGGGATTTGAGAAATTTGCTTTTTTTTTTTTTGCTTTTCTGTCATTTTATGGACCAAACAATTAACTGATCAATAAAGAATAATAAATTATGAAAATAATCGATTGTCAGAGCCCTAGTTTGAAGGGTATCAAAATGAATGGTAGCCTTTACAATTAGAAGTGTAGAGGACATTGCACTCCACCATAATCAAAACACCACATGATAAAGGAATATGTTTTCTATTAGGTGTTCTATCTAGTTGTTCATCCCTCCGGTACAGTTCCAGAAACTTGGAGGAGGCTTGTAGTGGCCCAACACCAAAACACTTCAAGTTGGTTTTTCCTTTAATTTGTCACCCATCTGTAGCTCAGTCAGCCCTAGTCATGCTTTGAAACTGATGATTGAAAACCTTAAAATCAGCTCTGAAACACGTAGTCCAGAAATCCCAAAGTTGGAGTGATGTAATTTGTCCTGTTGGTATCAGTTAAAACCCACATCAACAAGTCTTTCCTTACAGCTAAACCCCCTTATGGAGGAAGCAGAGAAGGGATCAACTAGGGATAGAAGCCAGGGATAAAGAGGAAGCAGAGGTGTGGTGTGGAGGAGCCTGGATGGAGAGGTGTTTCATAAGCCCTAGTGCCAGATCCTGTACCTTGGTTTGCCAGATTCCAGCTGTTTGGGTGGAGAAACTTTAAGGCTGATTCAGAGGCTGGCTAAAGAAAAATATATATAATGCCGGTAAAGGGAAGAACAGAAACGCATTTTTCATCGATAGACTGTTCAGTCTCACTTAGCTAGGTCAAATACCTTCCTTTTTTGTGTACTTACCCACTTAAATATGTGTAAAAAATTTACTTGGATAAAGTGGCTTTCACAGTGAGTAAGTGAAAAAGTATGAGGTGTAGTGTGGTCATATAGGCAATCAGACAATGTTCAAGGCTCTTCAGTCGACTGTGTCAGACACTGTCAGCTTCACTAAAACCTATCCGTCCACAGCCCCCATACCACCACATTACTAAATTACTATCTAATAACCCATCTCAGGCTCATTACTCAATCTCAAATTGGAGCAGTTTAGATCAAATCCGAGATCACCTCACAGCGCTTTAGATCGGAAAAATAAAGAGCTCTCCATAAAAAAAAGTCATCATTTTCGCTGCAGTGACTGCTGCTCATAAATGTCATAAAGCTGGATTGGTGTAATGGGGAAGCAGAGATAGGAAAAAGAGGGGGGGGTTGAGCATGGAGGGAGTGGAGAGAGGAGCGAAATGAGAGAAAGTCAGGCACAAACATCTATAGCAGTGCTAATCTTAGCATGCCATCTAATGGTGAAAGATGGTATTTTCCAAAAGGAGAAGCCTGTTAGAGCTTGAATTGAGGAATTCCTGCCAAAATGACAGGCATCACCAGATCATGAAAATATAAGTAGAGTCTTGATTAAATATAAGCACAGTCTGGGTTAATTGCATTTTCATAAAACGAATACAAATTACCCAGACAACATAAACTTTTATCTGGGACTTAAAACAGGTATACTCAAACTTAAAATCATGAACAAAGAATGGCTGATATTAATTAATAAACCCTTGCTTCTTTTTTTTTGTTGAATAGTCATTTTTCACGACACAATTGTATTCACCACAATCTGAATCTCATTGATTTAATGCTCTATTCAGCTGGAACCCAAAAGGTGCCAACTCAGCACTTACTAGTTTCTTTTAAATTGAGGGTAGACAAAAGCAAAGATTAATGTGGAGCAAAAGAAAAAATAATTTAATGCCTATAAGTCAATAGTGCAGGTAAGGTTTAGAAATAAACTTTGGGCATTGTTGGGATGTGATTTGTAAAAGCCACCATAACTGTATGAAACTGCTAGGTATGATGATCTGGATGTAAATTGGTACTACAATGTGAACCAGATCGCCAAATCAGTCACACCTGCACTCCACCTTCCAAGTCCAGGTCTGGCCAGTCTCACACATCCTGCACTAATGTGATATCATGCCGATCACAAATGCCTTCTGAACCCTAATGAATATAAAGCACAGAGAGGACCCCAATTAGTGGGCCAGCAAGGGTGGGGAGGCGCCACGCCGTACCACATAAACAAACTTATCTTGACAGGGTCGCTTGGTCATAGGAGGGAGATGTGCGGATAACCAAGGAGGCCGAGAGAAAATGAATTACCTTCCTGACACACGTCAAAGCCAATCACTGCGGAGCATCCCTTGCCGTTCCTGCGCTCCCAAAATCCCTGCCGCCACCGTTGCGTTTCATCTGCTAGTGTTAGTATGCACACAGGCCGTGTGCCAGCCTCCAAATGTATTCATTTATTCAGAGCCCCTCAGAGAAATCACAGTGTCTTGTTGTCCTTTTTTCTGCGGCTGTCCAGATGGAATTTGCGTGAATAACATCAGTTTAGTGAGGCAGAAAATAAGTACAGGCTAGCACAGCAGAGGGGACTAGATTACGCCCTCACCCACTTCCCAAAAAAAAGGATGGAAAGACAAGTGTCACCTTCATATACTTCTTTCTCCCTCTCTGCCTCCCTTTTTCATTTTCTTTTCCAGTTCTATTGAAACTTATCGGGGGAGGGGGGCTTCAAGTGAGAGATCTATTCAGTTTTTGCTCCAATTATTTTGTGTTATCATGCACTGCAGGTGCAATTAAACAGAAGATCATGAATCAAACAACTACAACGGCTTTTTCATTACAAAAAGGTGAGCGGCCATCAAGGGAGTGCAGCCCAATGCTCATTTATCCTCGTTTTGTTTTGCATTTATAACGCAACTAATTGCATTAATTAATCAGATGTACTTCTAATAGGAGGGAGAGCATCTTGCACAAGTAAGTGAATGAGATGAAACTGGGAAAAAAAACTGTAAATCAATATTTCCAACCTCAATAAAGCCCAAGAGAAATTAAAATGTCTTTAGTCAGAAGAGTGGAAAGCCTCAATATTCGTCAAGCCAATCAAAAAGAATTCACTACACAGCCTTCAAGGAGTCCCGTAATTGTCTATAGTATAAACTCTTGAAATTGATTTCAATAGAATCTGTTAGATCAGGTTTGCTTCACAGTTGCATGAAACTTAACTTTACCGAAGACAGACGTAACAAGCGTGTGATCTGCTTTAGAACAGGCATTGGTTGTGCTCACTACCACTAGTGGATGGCAGAAAGACCAACTGAGATAAAAGAATGAATAGGTGACAGAGAAACAAACTAACAAACTGAATGAATCCTACCTCTCTGAGAACCGTACTCCCGTATCCTCGGTACAGGCCTCGGACACCCTGCTCAGAGATAACACAACAATTTCACATTTATTAGAATCATAGACATACGCTTTATTTTAATTACATTCAGTAAACAGAGGAATATTTTCCTTTAAGAAGTCAACAATATTTACTCAAGAAAGTATGGCAAAGTAATTATTTTACAAGTAACCAAGTTCAATATTTCACAACAACCAGATGAGAAATTATTAATCTATGAAATTAAAACATAAAAAAAAGAATAATTCCAATTTATTACAACTTTTCACATTCTACCTACTCCTTGATTTTAGTCATCAAAGTTACTGCTAATAGCTGGGTTAGGGTTAAGGTGTCAGTATCCTTCAACCAAGGCACTTGTCGGATGGTCTAACAGCCTCTGAACCTAACAGCCGACCTTTCCGACATTGAAATTGGGGCAGCAGCGTCCAGCGATTTCTGTAGCTTTCCAAAACAAACAATCTAACATTCATGCCCACCTAATCTCTCTCTGAGAGCCGGCTTTTCACCCCGCCTTCAAGTGTTGTCTTTCCGAACAAGTACGAACACTTTCAGACATGGCCTTTAGTATTTTGTGTCTTTGGGTTAGGTTTGTTTCAAATCTTCCTGTCTGAGGGCTTGTGTTTCATGCCCCAACGCTCTTCTTTTTAGCGATGTCACCGGACTCCCAGATCTCAGCATTTAAGGTTGAGAGCACAGTGTTATTATCACTGATAGGAATGATGGGCAAAACCACAAAAACATATTAAAGTTGTAATAAACCAGAGTTATCATTTAGTAGAAAGTGCCATTGACTACTGTGTACCTCTTCTCTGAGTGTAGCCAGCAGCATGTGGTAGGTGGTGAATGAAGGAGAAGCCTGGGTCCTCTGTTTGACCACCTCTGTGGGCACCCGGATCAGACACGCCACCTGCAGGATGCAAAGAGCATGAGTAAACAGATACTGTCCAATAGTCTTGTCTCAACACATAAAATCTCAATTTACAGTACTGGATTTCTCTCTAAAGGGTTTAATATCCACAGTGTGCTTCATTGCTGGTGGGTCTGTCAGCAGAGACTCCTCATCCTCCCCCCCATGCACCCCTCCCCCAGGTGCCTGTTTACATGATACTAGCCTGTGTATGTTCTTGCTATGTGGCAGGTGGCCATGATATGGCACGGCCTGAGGAGAGCAATTACATCGAGCTGGCATGATAACAAGTGATTCAGTTAGCGTCCAGTTGGACCAATTAACAAACCACTACACACAGTAGACATATGACACCTGAGAAACAGGTAAAAAGGTCATCAGGCTGACTGTGTCGCTGTGTCCGAAGAACATGCGCTTCCATCAAACACACTGATATATCCAGACACACATGCACACCTCAGTAACCACACTCCACGCTACAAGTTCCAGCCCATCTACCATATGTCAACAAAAATATGGACTGCCAACAGCTAGTGAAGATAGACATGAATATTTATGCTTCATAATTCCCATCGCCCTAAAGGCAGGCAGGCAGGCAGGCAGGCAGGCAGGCAGGCACAGCTGCCCACCTGGCGACTTGATTTCCCATTTATCCTGCATTGGAGCGGAAATACCAGCTAAAGGCAAGCAATCTGACAAAGTGATGGTGAGCCACCCCCCTGCTGTGATTCCCTTGGTCATACAGATGCCAGTCCGGCGGTGCCACCCTCCCCACAGTGCTGTGATGTTTGGAGAGGAGGAAAGAGAAGGAGTGATTGTAGTACTGCAATAAAGACAAAATTCACCCCTTTCTTGCTTTGCTCCTTCTCCTTTCACCTATCCATACTGATTCAGCATTTGGGCCCCATCAGACGTTTTTGAGGAGATGGGCCCTGGAGGATCTATTGCCGTACTCTGTGAGAGGGACAAGGCTACCCCGACAGCTGTTAGAGGGCTCACTTCTGTCAGCCCCTCATCATTTCTGTCGTCTCCTCTGCCAGACACCAAGGACACCTTATGAGCAAGAACGTGAATGTATGTGGACCACAAAAGGAGAAAGGATAAGTCAGCAGTGCTGGAAGTCAAGTAAAATCACAGACCGAGTTTAATAAGACTTTACAGACATAACAAGCGAATCTTTACAGCCACAGTTCTGGCTCCATATCTCTAAAAATCCTATTAAACTATTGATTATTATTTGGTCTACGTCTAAGCTTTGTTTTGACCTTCACCATATCACTTTTGCAACAAGACAATGCAAGTTCTTCCTCTTTTCAATACATAATGAGCAGATAAACCTCCTTCTCTTTACATAAGAGCAAAAACAAAAGACTTGAATGAGTGTCTATGAAGAATTCAGCACAATTCCTATTGGTATTTCAGGTGAGTATGAGAATTGTTCATCACTTCAACCTAACCATGGAGCAACAGTACCACCAAGTGGCCAAACATTCACCTGCATCACCTTCCTGTAATAACTAAACTGGCTGCATCCATCTCAGAGATCTCATTTGCTCTCCCTTTGGTCAAGTTACCATTTCTAATACATTGTACATCATGTTTTCCCCAAACCAATTCTTCAAAGGACCAGAATAAGGAAGCTAAATAGAAAGAAAGTGGCTATGACAAGTAATTACTGACGTAATTGGATGCGGGGCCTAGAGTTGAGACGGCCTTTCCTCTCCTGTCACTGCAGAGGGGAAGGCAGAATGAGCCAGAGATTATATAAATAAATTAGGGACATTGTTTATTTGGGAGTAATTTGCGTGCCTAGGGGTGGGGAGAATGATGTTGAGTGGATAGAAGATAAAGCGTGCAGCCTCTGAGGCCATTTCAGATCTCTGAAAACAGCGGAAAATGGGGGAACAATGGTGATGAATCAGGGCATGATAAAAACAGGACTGGGGCTTAGAAAAGCCTGAATAATAGAGTCATATCCTGTGTGGAGGTGTTGAAGTAGTGTGTCATCACATTTTTAAAGAAAGAACAAATAAAAGAAAGGATAAATTAAGAATAGAAGACTTAGGTAGGTGTCCCTCATTAAAACTCAGGCTTGTTACCTCATGTTTAGGGGAGGGCTATGGAAGACCATCAGGATGACTGACGTCTCTTTCTTTACCTACTTTGATTGCCCTTCATTCTCAGTGCTGCAGTTTCTCTGGCTTGTAAACTTATTATAAACCCATTGGCAGTCTTTTAAATTCCTGCTACCATTCATCTTTATTTACAAGCTGTTGGATTCGTCAAGCAGCGTTAATTAGGAGGCTGCCTGCCTGTGATTTTAGCCTTTCAGTTTCCCTTGGCCTGTTGTTGTTAATCCAAATCACAGAGCGTGTTTTCAATTCCCAACATTGGCCGCCAAACAGCAAGGTAAGAAGCCAGCGCTCAATCACAGTAAGGAATGGGAAATTAGCAGAGACGCACAGCACATTAAAGGCATAGCCAGCGAATCAATCCACAGATTGAGTCATTACATCGTCCGTCCTTCCCTCCTTTGTTACATCCCTCTTTTACTGCTCATGGCCATAAGGATGCTGTGGTCAGTCAATCAGGACCAGGATTACCATTTGGCAGCATAAAGAGATAACAGGTAAGAAAAACATACAGGGTGCAAAAGCTGTTATGGACCTCAATTATTTGGATTTATTTGTCAATAAAATATATGTATTCACCACCAAAACAGGGGAGCTGCTGCAGTAACACATAAAGAACTGCAGGACAAACAATGTCCCTAACTTTAGCCTAATTTTAAAATCTAAAATCTTACATAACAAATCTCTATCGATCATGAGACAACTAAACATCCTCAAAAACCCTGTTACATCTGCCTGTGAAAGCCAGTTTGTACCATTGAATGTACCAGTACCAAACTCCGATGACTTTTGTCTTTTGTTTTGATCACTCGTCCAATCCTGGAAATATATCACAGTACCAAGAAATACAGACTGAAATAAGGGTCGACAAAGGAAGGAAAGAAGGAAGGGAGGGGAGGAAAAAAGGTCATGAAGAAAAAGGGATAAGGACACTGCGTGTCTCCAAATTTGAAACAACAGCCAATAAATCACAAAGCGTGGCGCTGCTCGAAGGCGATGCATGGATTATTTCTCAGTGCCAAGTTAAGTGGCTGCCAGTTTCTACCCCCAAAACTCCTCCCTTCTGCACCCTCCTTCTCGCTGTCCCCCTATCTTGTCATGTCACACTGTATTTTCCAGTACATCCTCCCACAGACGTGTGGTGGTGAGGTGGAGCTGGTGGTGAGTGTGTGTGTGTGTGTGTGTGTGTGTGTGTGTGTGTGTGGGGGGGGGGTTATAGATGCAAGAGAAGCCCGCCGCCTGGCCTTGACAAATGAGCTTTCAGGGCAGACGTCGAGCGAATGGGAATGAAGATAAATCTGATCTAATGGCTGGATAACAGCCTGCTAGAGCCTGACAGACGCCATCAGCTTACACATTCTTTATGGGAGCATCCCACCGCCGCAGTCACACAAACATCAGGGCACTTCTGGCGAGGGGGATTTCTCACATTGTCTTGTCCCTACTCTAGTTCCATCTCTCTACAACTTATGACTGTCCGACTGTCCGACTGTCCTCCTCTCTGTCCTCCCTGTCTCTGTGTATCCTGCTACTCTTCACAAGTTAAGCCAGGCGTTAAGTAGGTTAATATAGAAATGGCATTAGTTATGACATTTGAAGACCTCCATCCAACAGCAAAGTACATTCTACCACCTTGGTTTAGGTCTTGAACCTTCAGTTTTAACTCTCACAGGTATTTCACATATGGTGATTACCTTGGTGAGGCTTGTTCTTTCTGTATATGCTTAACCATTCCTCCTTCCCCTCAATGAACATCTGTTGGACCATGGCTTGACTGTTAAGATAAAAATAGCTTAGATTTAAGTCTGTCTGTGTTCTCTTTTTTTCTCTTAAATCCCATCTCATACTTTAGGCAGAACAAATTCTGAACAACAACTCCCTCTGGTATGATCATAATAGACTTTGACTGAGGTCCACATCCAGTAAGTTAGTGTCAAGTCGAGCATATCATCCATAGAGGGAGGCTTGGGGATGGGATTAGCAAAGCAATAAGTCCCATAAAGCTTCTGTTGCGCATGGTGCGGAGTGCAAACAGTTGGTAAAACACAACTAAATGGACTCCTGGGAAAAAGGATCATGAGCTGATGAAGGGGTGGGGTGGGGAAGTCGGACAGAGACCAAATAACAAGTTACTTCTTCTTATTTAAGTTTCTGTGTGTCAAAGCCTGCCTGCTCCCAGAAAAGAGACAAGAAGGAGGAAGAGCAACAGAGAAACACAATGAAAACAAGTGACCCTGTCTTATACTTGAACAGAACAGAATATACACCGATCAGCCATAACATTATGAGCACTGACAGGCTAAGTGAATAACACTGATTTTCCTCAAGTTGATGTGTTAGAAGCAGGAAAAATGGGCAGCGTGAGGATGTGAGTGACTGACAAGGACCAAATTGTGATGGCTAGACGACTGGGTCAGAGCATCTCCAAAACTGCAGCTCTTGTGAGGTGTTCCTGGTCTGCAGTGGTCAGTACCTATCAAAAGTGGTCCAAGAAAGGAAAAGAACCGGAGACAGGGTCATGGGTGACCAAGGCTCACTGATGCACGTGGGGAGTGAAGGCTGGCCCGTGTGGTCCGATCAAACAGACGAGCTGCTGAAAAAGTTCATGCTGGTTCTGATAGAAAGGTGCCAGAACACACAGTGCGTTGCAGTGTGTTGGTATGGGGCTGTATAACATAATGACCAAAATCTCTTGAGTTTCCATTCATGTTGAAAGTGTGATTTGTGTTTAACATTTCAGATACGAACTGAAGTAAGATTCTCTCTCTTTCTCTTTCTCTCCCTCCCCCCCCACCCCGAAATATGACAAAACACAACCTTTATATTCACAAAGTAGATGATAAAAGAGGCAGCAGGTGAGACGGTTGTCTTCTTTCAGAGCAAGAGAAGGACAAAAAGAAGTAACGGTGACATTAACCTGGAGGATACACACACTGAACTGAGCAGGTACCTTACTGTTAGAGTCTGATCTCTTCTCAATCTCAACAGTGTGAAATGGCCATTTTGAAAAGGTCCTTTACAGCACTGAAATCATGATGTGGGACTGATGTTTTATTCATCATGCAATATGGCTTGTATGGCCCCTTAGTCAAGCTGATGTCAGAAGCACAGTGCAATAACTTTTAATTAAAAATCATTAACAAAGACTGAGTAGACACAGAATCTTATGTGGCAGTGGTTGCATCACAGTGCGGGCGTTTAGGCCTTGCATAGGGCAGCACTAGGGCAGGCCTTTCGTGGCTTAGCCTGAAGATTACTCTCTTTGAACAAGACGTATCCAGTTGCCTGAATGCGGTGGGATACCGCCCCTGCTCTGCTCAGCTCCGCTCCGAGGATTTGTGCCTTTGATGTGCTCAAATCCAGAACAGCGGGAAAGGGGTTAAAGGTAGCAGCAACCTCAGCCTCACCTTTCGCGCTCATCTGGACCGTGTCACAGACAAAAAGTGGGAAAAAGCACAGAAGTGCTACAGTATCTACAATAACTGCTACACTGATTGAGGCAACCAAGTGATACAAACTAAATCTAACTGAATTTGTGCTAATGTAAGAATAACATGTGTCCTCTTCTCAATACTGTGAGACACCAAGGCACAGATAAACTCAAGCACAGAGAACACCCTCCCATGTGGAATAATCCCACTTCATCGACATGCAAAACTTGGCTAAATTACATCCATCCAAAAGCCATGAATACTGAAAACCTAGTATTTTGCAGAAAGCCATGGTGGTATAGCAGGGGGCATCCCTCTTTCCATACCCCCATCCCTCTACCCCCCTTCATGCCAATGTGAATACGCGTGGCCCCCATATGGCTCAGATTCTGTGGTTCACTGTGAGTGATTGGGAGAGGATGGGCTGAGGAAATGGGCCGTGTTGTTTCAACAATCCAAAAAAAAAATGGAAAAATGGGGGGGGGGGGGGAAAAAAAAAAAAAAAAAAAAAAAAAAAAAAAAAATAATAAAACAAAAAAGGGGGGGAAAAGGGGGGAGAAAGTGGACCGGGGCCTACGCAACACAAGGGCTACTCCCTTGCATAGTGGTCTGTGAAATCTGAAAGGCAATAACATTAACAGACATGCCGTTGGTGTTCATTTGGGACTTTTAGTGGTGGGAAAGAAACAAAGAGGGCAGAGCGAGTGCATGGAAGAGCAACAACAAGTGCGTAAGGCAGCTGGCCATGAGAATGAATTAGGCCTACACAAATAAACATGACTTGAAAAGTATACTGCCAGAGTGACAGAGGATGAAAAACCAAAACAAGAGGAGGAAAAAGTTGGGAGACAGAGGGACAGGAAGACTTACTATTTCTCCCAGGGAGGCGGCCAGCATGTGAGTGACAGGTGCCACGTGTGGTGCTGCTAGCACTCCGCCGGCGCCGAGCAGGGACTTTGTGCAGTCGTAGGTGACAAAGAAAGCAGCGGCTGAAACCAAGCAGAACCACAGCCATTTAAGGCCCATTAGTCAACCAGCATACAGCAATTAATATCCCTCACTACCACTGACAGGGGAGAAACTGAGGGGTGTGTGTGTGTGTGTGTGTGTGTGTGTGTGTGTGTGTGTGTGTGTGTGTGTGTGTGTGTGTGTGTGTGTGTGTAATTGTCTGTCTGCATGTAGAATAGGGGTAAAAACTGAGAAAGTTAAGCTTGTCTCACATGGATAGAGTTCAGTTCTTTCTTACTCCCAAATTTGTCCTGCAGATATGTTGAATTCATTAGTAAACTGCAGCAAACAGATTGGATTATATTCAAACCAACAACATATGTCTTATATATATACATAAATATATAACATATATCTCTCATCTTTATCAGTCTCTCTCTGATATGCTCATGAAAAGGGCTTGAGCTTAGTCACCAGATTAATGCTTGATTGAATGCTCCATTGATTATCAAATGCCAGTGCTTCTATCTGCGCCATACAGTACCCAATTAGAGTAGCCTCAATATAAAGTGAATCTTGAGACTATTTTTGTATTTAAAACTTCTACAGATAGCACTAAACTGTTTTTGTTCGTGCAGTCTGGTCACTGGAGAGGTAGTCTAATTTTAAAGGGGGGGTCAGTTGTTGACTGCAAGCAAAAGTAACCCAATATGTTCATATGTGACTCAGATCTGAATTTTTCAAGACAGTGTCACACAGACCAAATCACATAATTCCACATTCATATGAGGCCCAATTCAGATCCAGGTCTGATTCTCTGCAATGTGACATATCATATCAGAATTCATGTGACTTACATGTCACTCTTTATTGACATTAATCATGCGAGCCACTTCAGGACTGTGATCTGCTCAGACTGGACTCTGATATGGGCCACATCGAAAAACAATGTGAACAGCCAAACAAAAATAATCAGATCTTTAATATCAGATCAGACAATATCACAAAACAAAATATCTCAATACAATACCATACTGTACAACACTACAATACATACATTACAATATTCTATTTTTATAACTATCTTTCTCCAAAATGACTATCCCCACATTTAAAGAAGAGTTCAGAGCATCAATTATTGTAAGATTCCACCATCTTAGTCTGACTGTAATAAAATTATATCATCTCCATAAGTAAATTTCCTCAAAGAATTTCACAACAAGAGAGTCTAATCTCACCAAAAATATTATTAAATAAGTGGTCCCCAATAATTTCATATTGCTTTAACTGATGTGAGCTAAGACACAGTAAAATAATGGATTTATTTTCTCCTAATTAAAATATTAAAACTACATGTTATTCTTTTTTAATGTATACTTTCTCTGGGTTAATAGACAAAAGTCATTATTTAACTCTATGTATGAGGATGCTGAAAATCACAGACTGCCTCCTAAAGACATTTATGCCTGTGTTGTGTCTCTGAGCATGTGACTGTACTGCACAATTGCATTTGTTAAAAGGAAATAAAGAATATAAATAAAGTTTAACTTGAAATTATTTAATGATCTTTGATTGTTTGGTATGTTCCTTTGGGAGAACGTCAGTAGCAACCAATACTGAACAGTGAACCGTCGTTGGAACATAGTATATATCAGGTTATCAGAAAGAGCAGCTCACCATTGGGGAAGGAGCCGACAGCAGCAGATGGGACTCCGGCGTAGATGCCCCTGAAGCCCCCTGCCTTGTAGAAGCCCTGCTGACTCTGCAGTCGTGTCTTAATGGTGTCCAGGGGGAAGAGGGTCAGATCCACACACATCCCTGCACAGCCTCCTGCCTGGAGAGACAAAGATCAATTTGTGCAACATATTGCCACAATACACACTCTATAACACCAGTGGCAGAACACATATTCAGATCTTTTACTTAAACCTGCTTCTTTTTTTTTTTTACCACTTGAGGGCAAAACAACAAGCTGTAAACATAACACTTAACATATTTTCATCTTCTAAAGTTGGCAAACAGTTATTTCTTTATATATCCAGCAGACACAGGGCAACCTGACATATGTAAGCTCATATTCATTCTCCTTTTAGCTTTGTAGTGGTCTCTAATAACTCCTCTGGGAAATATCTGTCTCTTTTGCTGCTAAATGTCCCACTGTGTCCACCAGCTAGTTGCTAACTGTGCCTGTCTGCTGCTTAATGCTGGGCAGGTAGTGTAGCACAGTGGATTCAGCTATCAGCTGCTGCCATAAGCGATGCTGATGTGAGCGGTCCGGTTGAACCAAACCAGTAAAGATGCAGGTTGTACAACCAAAACAATGTTGTGCTTTAAGTAACAATAATGTATCATTTTTGGTCAAATTTACCTAGATACAAATGTTGTCTTTATAAATGTTTAAATTTATATAGGTATTAATAATGCATTCATGTATAAGCACTATTTTAATGTTGCAGCTGGTCAGATGGAGCTTTTTTTCTTTTCTTAGAACAATAAACACGCACAATACACACAAAGTACCCAGTACCACTACACAAACTAACAGAAACACAGACAGGGGAGCAATATCCAAAGTTTCCAGGAATAGTCCAAAGCTGCCACAACAGCCAGCAGCAGAAGTGTTGGAGATTCTGCCAGTTAAGGGTTAAGGGATGAGAAAAATAGATAAATAAGTCAACAACACAAAACAAAACAAAAAAACACACATGGGTGGGGCTAAAGTGGAGCTAATTTGACCTACCTTATAACCTGCTGGTGGGTAGATTAATCTATAACAATGCATAATGCATCATAGTAATATAAACTGATTATATGTTTTGTATTTAAAAACTAGCAAAGTAGATAAATTATCATAATTTTGGGAAATTTTTTTAAAGAGGGTCACACTCAGTGACAAAAGGGTCATAAAATAAAAGTACTCGAGTATAAGTACCTCAGTACTTGTAAATGTATACTTACCATGTACTTGTATTTACTTTTTATCACTGTACATTACAAACATTGGTAAATGTGCAATAAGATAATAAAAGGGGGTCATTTTTCACTAGTCACACATATCCACTCACATCTGTCTATTACAATTTAAGTTTTACACGGAGGATATTCCTTTCCTCTTCATTGTGTCTCATTATAGACAGTTTCCAGTGAAGGAACACAAAAACATTTGAGCAACGTCCCGTCACATGTCTTCTGTTACTTTGTCATTTTGTGTTAAAGTTATAACATTTAATTCCTTGCTTGGCCAGAGAAATAAACCCACAGAGGGACAATGATCATTAATGAGTTGTCACGTGAAAGGGCACGTTAGTAAGAGGGTAGAGTTGCCCCGCCCCCCGGCTCTTATCCGCAGTAACTGTTGTAACTAAACAGAGCTAGTTTCCGGCTTAAAATGTCTACTAAATGGACATGTTTATGTCTAACTTTATCTGTGATAGAACAGTTAGCTACCTCCCACCATGTCAGTATTATTTTAAAATATTTAAGGTTGTATAACGTTAGTTGTGGAGGTAAGAAGACCCGTCGTCGTCCTTTAGGATTTAAAATAACATGAACCTGCGGCTGCAGTACGTTACACAGGTACACAGTTACACAGGTACACAGGTTTATACACAGGTCCTTAGGGTGCAGTCTTGTTTCTAGCTTGTCTGACACTATACTTTGCAAACAGATACATTCTTTATTGTCTTATATGCAGCACACGAACAGAATACTTACACGACGTAAATTCCTGTGGTAAACTGGTCTTCTACTAACAGTAACCGACAAAAATTGGGATTAAATGTGAGTTACCTAGAGGTTGTTTGATGGCAACATTAACACATACCATGACATATTGTATAAAAGTGCCACCTTACCACCAGGGACGCGACGAACTCTCGTCTCTCCATGCTCCGCTCTCAGAGTCTTCTTCTGTCGGTCGTGCAGCCTGGAAATGTGCATCTGTTGTGCATGGTTTACATTCAGCTTCAATCAAAACATGCCTGTCAAGGACGCTGCCATCTTGGTCGAATTACTTCCGCGTAACGTCACGACGCATGCTACCCACGTGATGTCGGACGCTAGTGAGGGAACACGTTTCCGTGGCAGCTCCACCTTATTTGGCTCATAGATGTCTGAGGGAAAGCTTAAGCCTTTCTCATTTGCCAGGATGCGAGGTGAGGAATCGAGGAGAGGAAGCGAGGAGGGACAAATTATATAAATGAGAAAGGCCCCTTGTGGTTGATGAAGAGAATTAGCCTGTAGCAACAAAACTGCAGAGATTACAAAAATAGAAATATTTTGGGCCACTTCTGTTAAATGCTGGGCCATTGTAACAAGTTGCATTGGGTTGTTTTACAAGCTCTTTGGTAAAAGAGCACTTAACGATCAAACTTTCTTTCTCAACATGTAATCCCTCAGATCTGCCACAGTCGATAAAGAAACAGTGAGCGAAACAATCACAGACCAGCAAACTCTTACTTTGTTTTCTCTTATAGACTAAGAGAGTGATGCCATGCGTTGTCTCGTCTGTAATGTTGTCCGAATGGGGTGATGACACCCTACTTGAGGGGTCAAGACAACACTTTCTGAGCATTTGAGCAGAGGTGAAGTGTAACTGCTTTTACTGAGTGGACTGGTGTCTCTTCGATGGGTCACTGTGCTAAAAGAGCAATTCTGAAAGAAGTGCCCTCTCTTTTGATTCTGCTCCCAGAATGTCTCCAGTCCTGGTTTTCAAGACAGAAAAAGAGAACAGAATGAGGTTTAGAGAGAAGAGCCAGCTGAGGACACAAAATCACAGTTTTGATTGGTTGAAAAATATTAGTCGAACTTGATTTAGTGTCAGTAAGGTTGGTGTTTTGCTGATGATGCAGTGCTTGTTTTATGAATAATACCATGCATGTGAAAAAAAACCAAGCATATAAAAGTCAAAATGTGTTTTTGTGACCTACCTTCACACACACTTGTGTTGCCATTCCATAACTGTAGCCCTTGCGTCTCACCTCTCCCTCGTGATCCTGTTGAGTGAGTGTGCTCAGGTGAGTGTGTTCTTTTGCCAGTGACACGCCGACTGGGTTATTTATGGGCTGCTGTCAGCCAGGCAGCGCCTCCTATTAGGGAAGAGCAGGCGAGGGGCCACCACCTCTTTATTCAGCCCGGACCCAATGATGTCTGGGCTGAGTGCGCCCAGTTTGAAGCTCGGTGCCCGTCATCCATCTTGTTGAAGCGGGTCTCACAGGGATCCCGTTGGATGTGAGCCCCAGCTGTATGTGGACCTGGCTGCTGTCTCTGCTGTCTTGATCTGTATTAGGCTTGAGGATGGCAATTGCATCGCTTACACTCTGCTTCTCGCGTTTTTATTGTCTTGATGCAGCACTTCAAAAGACAGAGTACAAATATTTCTCTATATTTAAGCATTTATTTGTTGCTGTGGTCTATTTTAGGCATGTTATTCAGTCATGTTTTACTCCAAGAAACATATGCAATAGTTATTTACTGTGGTACTGACAATGTGCTGGTGCTTCAGACTTTGTCCCTCAGTTCAGTCAATGCAGCGCATTAATTCTATGCCATACCTGAAATTGATTTTTTTTCTTTTTTTCTTTCGGTAGTTGTCTAGAAGTTTGCAGTGTCCAGAGTCTGTCTGTTCCATCATGTAAAGCCATTTATCACTCTGTCACAGCACGTCCTTGGTTATTGGGATTTTTGTCATTTGTGCTCCAAATGCTGTATTCATGTAAGTCTCAATGGAAATGGTTTAGAAATATTAAGACTGGATGATCAGTTTTTCAATAAGTGTGCTTCTGAAAGATCTTTATGTTCTAAGAAAGGCTGGTTGACTCTTTGCTTCTGATCCATTTATTTATTTCTTGAGCAGTGATGAAACCTTTTAACACTTAGCTGCTTGTCAGATTCACCTAACAGGTTCCTTAATGACTTCAGCCAGATACGTGTCAGGAGTGCAGCTCACAGTTTGAGACCAGGAAGAACTGAAATAGAGAAACAGCTGTATAGGTCGTCTGTGCAAGCAGCTTATTACAACTCATATTTACGTTTATCTAATCATAGTAATTATGACAGGAGGAAATAAGGTGACATCGTATAAAGAGCCATTAGGGCTGCATAGGGTTAGGATTAGGCCGAGGTCGATGAATGGGTTAAACACATCCAGACTTTCACTCAGGAGACTGCTGTTCATGTCCAATGCATCAACATATAAAAGGTGGACGTTGTGTCTCTATTTTCCTGCCACAGTACAAAAATTAAAGCAAAATATCCCAGATACAGGATTGCGCTGGTGACGTCATTCGGGGTGATCTGGGCCGCAGTATCGAATCCCTACCCATACACTTGGCCATCTCAGTGTAGGATTCAGTTGTCAATCATGATGTAAAAACCCCCTAACTTCAAATAACTAATTAAAACCAAACTTATCAGAAAAACAAACACTGGAACATCAGAGTGAACTACCTAAAATTATACCAACAAGTCAACTTTTAGTTATTTTAAGTTTACTTACGTAACATAACTCAAGTCATGTAACATAGTCATGCTCCGTACCTTAAGTTATATAACTAACGTACTTATAAACCTATTCAGTCGTTATGAGGAAATGTTTGAAGCAGAGCAGAAACTGGCCTGCACCAATATGGTCCATGACTTTTTAACGAGAGCCCTGCGAGCAGTTGCTGAATTTATCCATAGACATTCATGTAAAATCTGGCTGGATGAGAGTAGGAGTGTTCAGTTACCCCTGTGTAAGGTCAATGAGAAGCACCCAGAGTCTGGGCAGATTTGCAGGGAGCACCATTGATCTTGACCTACTCAGAGTATGATCTCAGAGATAAAAGGGAGGAGACGAGAGGGGAACTTATTCACTGTCAGCCACAAGTCAGCAAAGGGCAATTCTAGCCCGCAGGCTGTCTTTGAAAAACTGAAGGGCAAAAGCACAGAGGATTAAGCCACGAGGTGGGGGAGGGAGCGAAATGCAAGCCGCCATAAGGGTTGTTGTAATAACACAGAGCCAACATCTATTGGTTGAGGCATGTGTGTTAGGTGACAGCCAGAATGAACTCAGAGTCAAAAGGTTATGCAGCTTGCACAGATGAGGGGTTGTTCAGAGTTCCACCTGAAGTTTTCAGACACTTTTTCTGCTCCTGTGTGTTTGTGTGTGTCTGCTATGTGTGTGTTATTTCAGGGCAGATTGCTTACATTTGAATTCCTTAAATTAATTTTCATCGCCTTTTTAGAGGCCCAGTTGCTCCTTTGGACACCATTAAAGACCAACAATTGACTTTTTTTCTTCTCATATGTAATTTGAGAAAGCACCATCTGTAATGGTCATTATTTGTGAGCCGAGAGGAACACACATCTTGAGTCTGACACTGTGATATTATTCATGAGACAGGGTGGTCGAGCAGCTCGGTAAACTTCAGCCAAAACATAACTCCTGCTCATTAGCTGGCCTAACATTTGCATCATTAGGACACGGCAACAGCAGGGGTAGGAGGAAATGCGCCTAAGCGCCTTTCATATAACTCTTTGTTTTTTAAACTCTCAGGAGGATGATAGGCTACACGAGTCTGTGACAGGGAGGGAGAGCGGGAGGGAAGGGAGGGCGGGAGTGATGCTCCAAACGGAGAGAGGAAGGGAGGTGACAGGGGGAGAGGAAGGAGGGAGGTGAGATAAAGGGAGTAAAGGAGAAGAGAAAGGTTAGAGAGAAAGAGGAGAATAAAAGAACATTCATTATAAATTCACTGAATCGACAAGCTGTCAGGCTGCGCTGCCGTCCATGTAGCGTATAAGCCTCTGCTGCACTATTGACTCCTACGTCACACCCAAAACTTCTCTCTCCTTTTCTCACCTTTTGGTTGCATCCATATCACCTGTTTCTGCTCCACGCTACCTGCTCTCTGGATTGACCCCTGAGAGCCCTGCAAAGCCATGCCATCATCCCATCTTCCCCTTCTCCTTTCTCTCCCCCCCTCTGCCCTCTCATCCCTGCTGGGCCACCAGTGAAATATGAGCTGCCTGTAGCATATTGATCCCATGCCTAGCCCCTGCCTAAAGATAGATAGATCACAGACAAGGCAAAGCACTCCCGATGCCTCCTGCTCCTCTACAGCAGCAGCGGTAGTGCCAATGGCTTCACTGGTTGATATTGATTGCAACAATCAATTTCACCACAACGCACGCTGATGGATTCTGTGCTCCTGTTGTCATTGTCTCAGTAAGAGCAGGTGAGCTGAGCGAAGGGCTGTCACACAAGTCGAGCTGTGATGGCCTTCGATTGGTCAGGACGGGTGTAATCAGCCCTGTGTTACAGCTGTCCAGTGGCAGCGCAGCGGGCACAATAGAGGCATTGGCTGTCAAGACCTCTTTCACACTCTGAGAACATAACTGAAGATACAGGATTTGAATATGCCATTGGTCAAATGTTGATTTATACAATTGAGTTACATTACATTTCTGTATGTATTTGCTTGTATCACAAATCACTCTGCTGTTATGATCACTGTTAAAGGCCCAGTCACATGTCTCCTAGGTGCATTCAGTATTGCTATTTTGTCATGAAACATTGGTCATAATTATATATATATTACAGTTACACAAAATTACACATTGTTTTAATTTATCATAATGATTATATTTATCATTAGTTATTTGTTGAGATTTTTCTGGATCATTACCTTCGTTGTGGCAGTGCTGCAGCACAAGGCAGAGCATAGGTGCTGACTTAGCTGTATGCTACATAACAAGTCCTCCAAATGAAACAACAAAATACGTTTGTCCATGCTCATGCTTGGTCAGATCCAACTCATCAGGATTTATAGGGGGAGCTCAAAACTTAAAGATCCCTTTCGGACATGTATTAAAACACATACAAATAGTTTGCTTGGAATATGTTCCTGGTTTTTTCCACATAAAAAGTATAATTATCATAAATTAAGGGATGACCAAAGTGGTAAACCAACCAGCTGACCAAGATTGCCATATTTCTGCACTGCTAGCTTGGATAAAAACAGAATTCTTAATGACCTACAGACATTTAATGTTAC